CTTAGTTCGCGTGGGCTTGCAAACCAGCCACCCGGGGTTAGTGCCCTTTGACCAGACGGAGAAAGAGATCCGGTTTGCTCAGGAGCACGGAATGCTGTGTTGCTCTCACACGGCTCCGTTCATGCACACAAGGCTGCATAATGGCGTCCAGGAACTCGCTGACCGTGGACTCTTGCTCCCTGGCCATGTCCATATTCACTGCACGAGTCTAAACCATCACGAAATGGGGTTACTTGCTGCTTCCGGTGGCAAGGTGTCCATCGCAACGGAAACTGAGATGCAAATGGGTATGGGTATCCCCCCAATCCGGGCGTGCATCGAACATGGCATTAAGCCCACCTTGAGTATCGACACGACCAGCATTGTCGCACCCGACTATCTCTCCCAAATGCGGTTGGCGCTGCAGCTGCAGCGGTTGCTTGATAATGATACGGCCCATGTATCCCGCAAGGCCCCGACGCAACTCGACCTCGGAGTGCGCGATGTCCTGACCTGGGCCACTCGGAATGGTGCTGATGCTGTCGGCATGGTCGACAGAATCGGCACTCTGACCCCGGGCAAGCGGGCTGATCTCATCTTTATCTCGTCGAAACGGTTTCTTAGTACATCCGCGTTCCCTCTGGGGACCGCCATTCTACACTCTACCCCAGCCGATATTGATACCGTTATGGTCGACGGGGTGATCCGAAAGCGTGACGGCCAGCTAGTCGGTTACGATCTCGATAATATCCGTGCTAAAGCAAACACTGCATTGCGGCGGACCATGGCTAACTTACGGGATTTCCGTCCCGAGATGACTGAGAAGGAACTGGACCAGTTTCTTCTCGATGTTGAACGTTTGACACGCGCGAACCTGGCCAGTGCCTATGGGAGCTCGGTAGACAGTTGCTGGACGTCATCCCTTCATCACACCGAATAGTCTAGTCTCGGCTACTATCCTTTATAAGCTATAGCCCAGTATCAACAGAGCCCCGGGCGTCACAGCGTTCTCTTTCCATCTCCTCCCCACAAATACTTGGGTTCCAAATTACTTGAACAAGCACCGACATGCGAAAAATTGAAATCCTACTGAAATCCCCCACGTTCATGTCCTATGTTTCGGGGGTAATTAGATTGCAAAAAGTGTGACTGCAGTTTTGAAGAATGTCAAGCTACTTCCAAGTAATTGTATTAGAGCAGTAACTCCACAAGAAAAGGAGGAAGTGGGTGCCTGTAGTATGTGACTGGTGCTTATTAGTCTATAAAATGGAATCTCCCCCAGGGTCCATCTCAGCAGAATGGTAAGAATATATGCCTTTATTAATTTCTCATACCGCTTCATCTGTATCTTTTCATTTGTCTCATAGACTCGACATGTCCAAACCATAATGCTTTGAAGCAAAACCTATAATTTACTCATATTTGCACGTGCTTGGCCTGCTGTATCCTTCGAATGCTCGAGCTTCATAATGCAACAGTCATAATCAAAAAATGTCAAGCGAGTTTGAGCGCTAAAACCAGTGGACATTGTTTCTCCAGTCGCTAAGGAAACCTTGATTATCGGTCCCATCCGAACGACATCTATACTAGTAGCTCAACAAACTATCGTGGACTGGCATTGACAGCCTGCGGCTGGGAGATGTAAGCGATCGGAGTTGTATCCCTCACGCTGCTAGACCTACATCATCAGGCTTTATGTGATTCAAATTCGGCATTGGTATAGTTTATGTTGGTATGATCTATCGAAAGACTATGAAACGAAAACAGTTAACGAATGCTATGAGGCCACAGCTCCAAGGATCTGCGGTGTCAACCCACTTAACAATGCACTAACTAGCGTCCATAGGTGGACTGCAGAACAGATTATTGGACCCCAGCCGTCTCTGTGGTCATAAGTGACCACTAACTGCAAGGAAGTTTGATTGAACCTAAAGTAGGACTATACCTCGAACGAAATAGGTAACTCTACGTTAATAGTGGAGGAAATACTTTTTACATTGAATCAGGATACCATGCTTGTCGTTGAGGATCTAATGGTTAGAATATGTGAGGGTTCACACTTGAATGAGTGTATATATATGCATTTACTAAGAATCAGTGCGTGAGGGTGTGGTCAATCTGGCTAGAGGGGAAGCCGCAGTATGAGAGCTATCAGCAGGCGTCTGCTATTCCAATTGGACTTTGAATATCTATGCGTTTGTATCGAAGATAGTTATAACAAGTTTTCTTCATTACTACTGATATTTCTTTTCTTTCTGTCCCTTCACACTCCTCGTCCATAGATGGTAACCTTCGTAAGTCATAAGCAATCGGTGCAACTTTAATCTAAAGATCTATAAGTCGCCTCCTTTGTTTCTCTCAGCGGGCGAGCATATCGTGAGGTTGTTATGGACCTCGGAAGACTGACGCGTACGGCCTGGGGCGGTCATCTTCAAACATATTGTAATGCATGAGATATACTGTACATCCTTGGTTATTTATTCAACGTCCGTATTTTTGGTATTCTAATGTATTAACTGCTAGGCGAGTCTTTTTAAGTTTAATTTAACATGTTATCCACGGGTAGTGCCCACATCGGTAACCCTTCCAACTGGCAACTCCCGGGAATCGATAACATTTCTTGGGGACATCCGGAATTCCCGTTACCACCTTCGTCCTTCCACGGCAATTCCGCATTCCTAAACGAAGACTTGAAACGGGGTCAACGTTTTCTCTTGAGCCTGAGTGTGGAGTGGTTCAAATCGACATCGTTCAAACTCTCCAATTGAAAATCCGTTCCTTATATTGATTCTAGGTCATTTTAGTCAATCGCCCAAGGAGATCACCCAGCCTCGTCACCTTCGGGATCCGTCCCTGCCACCACATCACAACAGCAGTGGTAATCCCACCTAGAGTCAGAGCGGTGAGAGTCAAGTTGCGCAGACATTGCACGGAGCGCTTTTTGATGAGTTTATTTGCGCGCTCGGCGTAGTCGCCTGGATTATTGGTTCGGGGGAAGGGCTCGTTCGGAATAGGCTTGCCGAGAAACTATTTCTGTCATTAGCTATCGTTTTGAGAAAAATCCAAATTCTTCCAAGTCATACCTTGCAAAGCGGCTCCCAGCCATCCTCGACGGACCACTCAAGCAAGTTATCCTTAGGCACCATCCCCCGAACCATATTGCAGTGGTCGCGATACACCCACTTTGCGTTTCGCTGGATACCATCTTTGGTGGTGCCGCTGTGAAAGATGCCGGGATATCCATCTCTTAAGTAAAGACTGTACAGCCAATGGAACTCTGCGGAGAACCACTGCATCGCCCACATCACCCATGATTGATCGGCCTCTTCGATGATAGTTTTATTGATGCTCCGGTACCAGGCGTTGGAATCGGGGCGCACGTTGAGGACCACCTTGGCGTCTGGGTAGGCGGCGAGCAGCTCGGGAGCAAATAAAATACACAACGAGTCAACCACCGCCTGACTATCACCGATGAGAATGTCGAACTCCGCGCAACTAATGTGCACGTCGCCATCGCGAGCGCCTTTGTATTTCCGCCGCACTAGCTCAGCACAGAGTTGCAGCTTGCTGCCATCTGGCTCGAAGACCAAGTCCCAGCCATGATATGTTTGCAGGCCCAGAGTTCGCAAGGCTACGCTTAACGACTCCGTTCCGGTGCGTGGCAAGCCCAAGCAAAGCACCTCGACGGGCTTGGTTCGTTTGTGCGGAGCCGGCTCGGGGAATCCGTAGAGTAAACGTTGGAGGGCGTACATTGGGGCTCGAAAAAATGTAAAGCTGGCGTGAGCTTAGGAAGAGAACCCTGGAGGAGTCTTCCACATAAGTAGTAGTAGCTATGATCGGTCGCATGATTCTTAGAGCGGGTCGATTGGGGGCCTGAATATATCATGTCCGCATGCGGCTGGGGGCCTGAAAGTTTGGGGGCCTGAATATAATTCTCCTTTACTTTTTATCGATTTTACCAGACCCTCTTTATGAAAAGAGAAATATATATATATATATATATATATATTTTGATAAAAGAGAATTTTGGGGTGTTTTTATTATGCAGCGATTCACTAAACCCTTAGATAAAAAGGAGATTCGACCGGGATGGATGGGTAAGAGCAAAGAGTACTGTGCTTTGAATGCTATGCAACTTGGGTGGGTAAAGTGGAACCACTAGGCAGAGACTGATTGGTGGTGGTCGCACAGGATCCACCCAATGAAAGCTATCCTGATGGCTAACGTACTCCTAATATAACAAATGGATTCAAACTCGCAAGATCGAACACTCATGCCATCCAGTACGGTAAAACCCCTCTATAAGCAATCCAATCGGATTTCTGAAGTCAATTCCCATATAAAATTTTTTAAAACCTCGATATAGGGAAATTTTATAAACCTGCCTAATACTCCATACAAAATTCCTAATAAGGGGGTATAGTGGGTCCTTTCAGCCAGTTATTTATCTTTTAAAGAAGTAAATAATCACGTGCTTTATTAATTTTTAGCAGTAAACCTTACCCACACAGCACCTCAACCACAAGAATATATATATTTCTTCACTACACAATAGAATAGTCTTAAATTACCCTTTACTACACAAGAAAATCAATCAATATCTAATATAAATTATATAGAGTCTTTAAAATTTCAGTTATAACTAGTCTATATAGGAATCTCACAATAAGGAATCCCCCGATATAAGCAATTTGAGTCGCTTCCTAAATTGATTGCCTATAACGGGGTTTTACCGTAGTATTGTCCTGTGGCGGTGCATTCTCCTCCGCCTAGCTTCCGAGAACACGTGTGCTGACATATCAGTCCCCGAACTTCCACAGCCAGTCAGCCACAGGTGCGTTTCATGCAAATCCATGCCTTTCAGCCTACCGACACCGCTTCCAATGATTCGCTGCGATGCGGTACGGCCCGCGACCATACTCCATAGACACTACTACTCAACGAGGTTAATCAAGTAGACTTCCCTATTTCATTCAAACGGGATATGATATAGTTACTCGCTAGAACACATAAGATGCTGACTATTCACCCAGATAAGGATATCGCAATGTTTCCTCGTTATCATCGACCGCTTCCAAGAAACTAGGAATAAGTGGCTCGATGCCCTGTTCCAACGCCAGCGAGCTCCATTCCCGCAAACCGAGTTCGTGGAATGACCGACCGTGCACTCTTTCCATATAATCTTTGAAACTCTTCACAGGAACCCTGACATTGCTCGAATGGTGGAAAAAGGACACCCCGGCCGTTGTAGACGATGCTGCAGTCGCACGCTGGGTGAACCTAGATGTCACCAGCGTAGCGATCTCCTCCGCAATGATCTCTACTTTCTGGAAGTCCAAGTATCCTTCCATTCTTGTGAGGCGGGGGGTCGCACCGAGTCGGACAGAGTAGCGTAGGAGCGAGTTCAATGCGTCCTGGGCTGGAGCTTGATCGCTGATGGGGGTGCAAGGACGGTGGATACTAATGCTGATACCAGTGTGCTCGGCGAAGCGCTCGAGGAAGACTTCACTAGCCCATTTCGTTGCAGTGAGACCGTCAGACCCGTCGAGCGGAGGAGGGTGAAAGGATACTGATGTGGGCCCGAGGGCGGTTTGCCCAGACTGAAGGATGACTCTCCCGGAAGAAATGTAGTGCAGGGGGGCTTGCGATTGTAGGGAGAACTGGGCGAGGCGATGGGTTGAGCCCAGGTTTGGCGCTTTCAAAGAGTTGTAAGTGTTAAGACAGTGACCATTCGAGCCGTTGTGGATCACTACGTCGATACAATCTTGTAGGAACGCCCATTCTGCGGTAGAAACACCTAGCATTGGGTCGAGAAGGGTTCCATAATAGAGCGATACTTTGTCACTGGTGGGAAGCACGTGCTCCTGATCCTTTTCCACGGCGATACAATGCACTCTTTCCACTTCGGGCACCTGGAGGAGAACCTGCACCAGCACTCTCCCCAAAAAGCTAGTCGAACCGGTAAGGAGGATTTGACAACCTGATCCTTGGCGATGCTTAGATAGCTTGATGCTTGACGTTGAGCTGGCGCGATCAAGGATATTTTGCGGTATAGCTGTTTCCGCGAGCCAATTGATCGTCATGGATGGTGCTTCAGCTTTCCGGGCATCAACCTTGAGCGCCATCTGTGCCAGTGTGCTGGCACCATACAGTTCCCGGAGAGTGACTGACACCCCGATAGAGGTGCGGATTGCACCTTGTAACCTGACCAGCAGCGTGGAATTTCCTCCGAGAAGGAAAAAGTCAGACTCGGGGTGAATGTGCTTACCAGGCAGCAAAACTTGCCAAAGAAGCTTAAGCTCACCCTCGCCCAACGTGAGCCGTTTTGACGGTTGGCTCATGGTGGTTGGCGCCGTCCATGGCATGGCATCTATTCCTTTGCGATCAATCTTTCCGTTCGCATTTCGGGGTAGCTCATCTAGACAGATGACTGTTGAAGGGCGCATATATTGTGGCAAAGGGAGGTTGCTGGCGAGATGTTGTAGCTCGACATCACTAGCAGTCTGACCAGGCATCAAGGCAACAAAGGCGACGAGCGTTTCCGAGACGCCCTGGCCCTTGACACACACGATGGCTGATGACAGCAAATTCGGGTGACAGTTTACCATGGTGGAAGCCACGTCTTCAAGATCAATACGAAGTCCTCGAACCTTGATCTCTGTGTTTCCGTCCATTCGGCCCAAGAGAATTAGAGAACCGTCATCTAGCAGCTTGGCTTTGTCGCCGGTACGGTACATTCGGGTCCACCCTCTGGCTATATCCTCGGGCAAAGCAAACGGATCTTGTACGAATTTCAACCTGGTCTGCTCCTCATTCAGATACCCCAATGCAACCCCAACGCCGCTGATACAAATTTCCCCGGGCTCTCCAGTGGGAACAAGATTGCAGTCAGGGCCCACAATGTAAAGAGAAGTGTTTGGAATTGTTCGCCCAACGCTATGTGCGCCTTCGAGCCGTGAGACGGACATCGTCTCAAAGGTCGTGCACGCGGAAATCTCGGTCACACCGTAGGAGTCCTGCACTACAGGACAATTCTTTCCTAGCCGCACAAACTCCCGCTTGAGCTGGTCCGTGAAAGGCTCACCACCCAGACAGGCGTGGCGCCATCCGGTGTAATGACTGAGGTATTCACGACCATGTTGAAGCATGACGAGGTACTCGGACGGAGTGGCAAGTGTGAAAGTTACGCTGTGGTCGCGCATAATTCTTGCAATTTCAATCGAATCTCCTCGTACTTCCTGGGATACAATGACAAGCTTTCCTCCGTTCATGATGGCATTGAGCGTCTGTGCAAGTCCCATATCGAATCCCAGTGAGCTTTGTTGAAGGACAACCGTCGAACTATCAAGACCGAGCTCTACCCTCTTGGCAGCGAGGTAGTTAATGAAGCCGCTCTGTGACAGGCATACGCCCTTTGGTTGACCTGTTGAGCCACTGGTGTACAGCAGAATGGACAAAGCGTCACCCTGTGCACTGTCGGTGAACATTGTGGGTGGAGCTCGAATGTCAGGAATCTCGGAAAGCTTGAGAACGGTTGAAATTCCTAATTTTGAGACACCTTCAGCAGTAGAAGAGAAGCAAACAAGTGCTCTGACAGGGAAGGCCAATACCATAGCTTTGTGTCTTGCAGTGGGAAGGCTGAGGTCGAGGGGCACATAAATCGCACCGATGCGGAGAATTGCTAGCATACTCGCCACCGAGTTGATTGACGGGTCGCATAAAACCGCGACTGCATCTCCAGTTCGGACTCCTTTTTGAAGCAGAGCTACTCCAATGTGAGTGCTCTTCGCGTAGAGCTGCAAGTAGCTGAAATCGCCACTGTGATCCGTGACGGCAATTCTATCCCCATATCGATCAGTCATATCCTTGAACCTTTCGGCCAAGGTCGCTGGCCAGCCGTGACATATCCGCTGGCCACGTTGTACCGAAAGACCTTCCTCGTTGATGCGGGTAGAAGTGACGAGACTGCCCCCAACAGGAATTGAAGGATCTGAAGACATAACCTCAAGTAGCCTTGTGTATTGATCGATGATTGCTTCCGTGGCTTTGGGCGAGTACAAATAGTCCCGACAGCTGACTTCCACAATAGAGGTCCCGTTTGCGCAGGGCGTGACATGGAAGGAGATATCGTACGGCGCATTGCCCATTACACTCCGGTCGTAATTCAGGTCAAAGTCGTCCACGGACATCCTGGTGATCTCTCCCACACGGTAGTTTATGGCAACCTGGAAGAGAGGCGTTACATTTGACACTCGTGGGAGATTCAGCGCGTCCACGACTAAGTTGGAGGGAACTGAAGAATTCAACAAAGCAGTCATCACTTTCGAAGATGTCTTCTGGAACACATTGGCAAAGCTGTCCGTTTGCTCGACCTCGAACCGAAGCGGCAACATGTTGAGAAAATAGCCGACCGTGCCGGTGAACTGCTGGTGTTTGCGATTGGCATCGCTCATTCCAATGCATAGACTTTTGATCTTCAGCAATGCAGCGAGGAAGACCTGTAATGTGGCCAGGTAGAAATGAAATGAGGTGCCTCGAAGAGTGCGACTTGCTTGCTTGATCTTTTCCGTGACTTCTATGCTAACGTACCGCGTCGTTGTGTGCACCTTGAAATTATCTGTTGGTGTACGGGTCTTCTTTGTGGCGAGAGGGAGGACAGGCATCGTTTCTGGCGGTGGTGTAAGCTCGGACTCCCAGTACTCTAGCTCCTTTGCGAACGTTCCATGATGGATGTTGCGATTCATCATCAGAGAATAGTCAACATATTGCGCAACCTCACGTGGTGGTCTTTGCTCATAGAAACACTTCAAGTCATGTAGGAATGTGGACCAACTAGCCCCGTCCATGACAATGTGATGGTATGCAAATATGACTGTGTGCTGGTCTTGTCCAACAGATACCACTGCAACTCGCATGACTTCACCTTCCTCTAGTCGCCACTGGTAAGACGCCAGCCTGTCAAACTCCTGTGACACAGAGGTAGCGCTTGAGGTCCTGACATGTTGAAAGAAAGGTGGTGGGGTTTTTAAGACACCTTGAAGGAGGTCACCATTATTGGGATCTGAAAAGAAGGCAGTCCGCAGTGACTCGTGCCGGGAGACAGCCTCTTCCAAAGCTCCTTTGAACTTGTCGACCGGAAACCTTCCCTGAACATTGTACGATATAACGACGTTGTACTGGGTAGGGTCCTTCATCCAATGGCCGGCAAACCAGATCTGCGACTGGTGTGGAGACATCTTTTCGACACGTGTAAACCTGGGTTCCAAGTCGTTTCGTTCTGGTTTGGATCCACAGTCAGAAGGGCATAGGTTACAGGAAGACTCCGAACTAGTGGCATCGAGCGGTAAGTCTTGAACTGAGCTGTTGTGCTCTGAGCTGGATCTAGTTGTCGCAACGTCTATGAACTCGATGTCTTGGGTAAGCCGGTCTTCTTTTTGCGGTATTATTCCTGGAGTATCAGGCTGTTGGATGATCCTCTGGCACAACCCCGTGACAGTGCCGAGTAGTGTATCCATGGGAGTGATGTCGATATCGAACTCTTTCGCAACCCATGCCTGAATATCCACAGCCAAGAGGGAATCACAGCCCAGGTCCAGAAGGGGGACATTCACATCCAATGTCTGTCCTGTCAGCCGGAGCATTGACTTGATCTTGTCCGATAAACGCGCAAGCAACCTGTCGTATTCATTTTGGCTTGGCTCCGACTCTTGGAGCTGCCCATGGCCACTAAGGAGTGATGTTGAATCTGACTGTCTAGCATACTCCCTCTCTTTGGGTGGAGAGCGCTTTGTAATGAAGTGTGAAAGCAGATGGTTAGAAAGAGAAGCGGATTCGCCGCTCTCGTCACTCTTGTCAATCTGCAAAATTTTCTTTTGAAGTCCAAAGAATATCTCGGCATTCCCTCCGGCGTCGGGTGCTCCAGCAGCTACCACCTCACCAAAGGCATGATGTAAGTCAGACTCAGACAGAGGTGCATGGCCATGGTGCATCATGCGCTGAATCGCCTCCTTGCCTTGCCTGGCAAAGTACCCAGCATCGACAATCATACCCAGGGCCAATACAGACCCCACCAGACCTCTCAGCCTTCGGCGTTGAATGAGGCTTGTCATAAACAGTGCCGAGGCATGAGACGCTAGCTGCTCTGCAGTTCCGACAATAGAGACAGTTGATGTCAGGATAACGAGGAAGTCTAGTGTTGGTGCTGGGAACAGCTCATCAAGATACGTTGCTGCATTAATCATAGCAGTCGCGCCAAGGCCTCCCTCGTCTTCGACAGTATACTCAAACCCTTGCTCGGACAGAGCCAAGGGAGCATAGCAGACACCTACAATGGGTGGTAAAGTCTCCTTTATCTGGTTGAAAGCCGACAAAGTGGACGTTTTGTTTGAAACATCCATCTTCAAGGGCTTCACAGTAGCTCCCAGGCGAGACATTTCGTCGAGCCAAGCTTCATGCACGCGTGGATTTCTGCTAGCCAGAACAAACGTCCGTGCACCATTTTTCGCCATCCACTTCAGAATTGACAACCCAAGTGGTGTTGCCATATCGATCATCCAGTAAGTTCCGCTTGAGGAGAACATAGTGGTGGTCCCTACGACCTCGGCATGGCCCGTTATCGATACAGGGCTCGTCCAGTCCACCACCTTTGGATAAACGACGGATGGATTGTCTGATGGGATTTCTGTCCAAGAGGTAACCTCTAAAGGTAGCTGTGGCAGAGTCGATAAGCTACTACATGCTTGAGAATAACTTTCCGTGATAAGCTGCCTAGGATTCACAAGAGGGGCACGGCGATAGAGGTCCACGGCCTGGATCCGAGTTTGAGAATATATATCGCGGAGAATCGTGACCACACAATCATCGGATGAAGATAAATCAACAAAAGACGTCACGACACTGGGTAGAACTCGTTCAATCATACGCCGCGATGCATGCGGATGGACTGCTATCCACCCTCTAGTTGGATCCTTGCACTTTGAAGTAATAAAATAAACCGTTTGCTGCGGCTCGCGCGCTTGCTCAACAGCAGCAGCAAGTAGCTCATCAGGCTCATAAAGAAGAATCGGCCCAGATATAGAATTCAAGAACAAATATGCTAAAGTGAAGCCAGCAGTCGCTCGCAATGTATCAGGGCTCAAGTCATCATTGTCGGCAGTGCTGTGAACATGCTCAGGCCTTGCTTGGATGACCGATGAGATATGGTTAGAAAGGCCGACAGCATTCCCCTTTCCGTCGACACGTGTACCATACCAAAGATAGGCATCTGTACAAATACAGCAGGAATATTTAACTTGAACGGCTACTGAGCCGGCCGACACCTCGGATGAGAGATCCACCGATCTCGGTGGGAGCCAAGCTTTTGGACGAAGCTCTCGGTGCCTGGAATTGTATCTCTTATTTCGTCCATGGTCCCACACCAGTCGTGGAATACGAAGCGTGCAACCATCCCAGTGTAATTCAGGTTCATTTGTCCAAAGCAGTTGCCCGTCCGTCAACATGGGCACGAAAGACCATGTGAGTCGTAAGAAGACGTCAACGATAGTGGCAGGCGAAACGTTTGCCACGGTGGACAAGTCTAGGAATTGTAGGCTGATATCATCTCCCCTTTGTGATCTCATTGCTCTCCCGATAGCAACACTTATGCTTGCCATATTTCCAGTTGTCAGCCAAAGGATGTGCTTGGACCTGGCTACAAGCTCTTTGAAAGTCAGGAGCCTTTCGTGGTAGGGGCCTCTGGAGAAGAACGGCTCGTCAAGCTCCACCAGGGAGATGATTGAATGTTTCTTTGTTAGACCATTCAGGTCCAGCTGGTGAATGTCTTCCACTATTGCGGTTGTGATGCCCGATGCGGCGAGGATTCTTTGAATACCCTGGAGGAGGCGTGCTACTAAAAGTGTCCTTCCCCCAAGGAAGACCACAGTCTCCGTCAGCGGCGCCAGCCTTGTCGAACTCATTGGCTCACGAAGCATCATGACCGTGTCATTGACTGCCTGAGTAATCACGACTGAAAGGCCGTCGCCGTTTGGATGCGCCGAGCGCTGAAATATATGATCGATGCCTGAAAACCCCTTGGAGCGGAGTTGTGCGTCCCATCTAACGGTTGACATATCTGGCCAAGACTGAGCGTCATGATCGTACCCTTGCCACCACTGGGGATGCAAGCCACAGGTATACAACAACGACACTGGCATTTGACCGGCAAGCCTAATGAACACAAGGTAGCCACCGGGCTTCAGCATTGCGCGGCATCCTTCAAAGAGACTGGTGGATGCATCAGTTGCATTGAGCGGATTGGCAGCAATTACCATGTCATACTTCTCGCTGCCATATTCATTAACATCGAGCGTGGTAAAGTCAATGACCTTAGAATATAGATTGCGGTGCTGAGTAGACAGCTTGGCCGCTGTCTGGCTGAGTGATACTGGAGACGTGCTGCTCAGACAATAGGACGTATACCTATCATCTAGAGATTTCAATATTTGTTGGGTGATCACAGCAGTGTCCGCATCAAGCTCGAGAACATCCATGTGTGGATGCTTGTGCACAATTCGGTTGACAATAGAACAAATGTCGTTATTCAGCAGAGAAAGCATCCCCCGAGTTTGAGATAAGCGGTCGAGGGTGTCAGCTCCGTTCGACATGGCAAGAGGGTCTATTTCTCTTCTCAGGATCGCTGGCAACGACATGCCGAGTGAATGGATTGACTGAAAATCCACAGTCGCAGCAAGTTTGTCGATCATTACGAGTATACTCTCCTCCGACGTTTGGGTATGATCTGGGTAAGTAACGTAGTACTCAGAGCCCTTACCATCCGCAGCAATGCGACTCATCTCATAATATAAGAGTTGGTGATGAGGCATAAACCTTGCAGATTCGTGTGGGTCAATCTTGTCGAGTGCTCGTTGGACATAATACAAGGCGATTATATCTGCTGCGCTTCTCCACACTATCTCCTCCTTCGGGGTATGATATGGAGAGATCAATGAAGGTCCAAAAGGGTCACTCTCCCACACCACGTGTGAGAACAGGTTACGGTCTTTCGAAGTATCAGGTCGAGGGATACTCCTCATAACCAAGCCCTCGACTTGCACGATAGCCTCCCCCTCTGGATTGTACAGCGACACATCGCCTTCTACCCTGTCACTGTCGAATCCAGTAACAAAAGCGTCGATTTCGCAATCAAGGGTTCCCAGGGAAAGGCAAGGGCGAACGAGGACTCGACGAACCTCCTTTGCATGAAAAGAAGTCCACAGTCCCTTACTCAATGGTGAGGCAAAGGCACACATTATTGCCTGAAACGATGCCTCTAGCTTAGCTGGATGGAGTAGGGATTCCGGGGTTATCATGTCAGCCACCCAAGCCGCAGACGCGGTGGCTTCACCTAGAGACCGCTGGATCGAGGATATGCATCGAAAGGGTCCGGAATAACCTGTGCCAGCCTGTTCAAATGAGTCATAAAAATCGGCAACATCTACCGGCGCGAGAAGGCGGTTCTGTTGTTCCCTCGGGGGTAGCTGGCCATAATCAGGCTGGCTGGCTTCGCTGAGATAAAGCGTTAGACGTGCAGTGCATAGCCTGGTTAAGACTGATCCATCGCTGTTACACGCATGACAGGAAGCTTCGGCATCTAGTCTGGTGCTTGACTTTGTCACGTTGTTTTCTTCAGAAAATCGTATTGCCGTGATATATTCTACTCCATCACCATGCTCTTCCAAAAATATTGGTTTCATGGCAACGAAATTGCTGACCGCAAGTAATACAAGGCTTTGCCGTGCAACTGCAGAACTAGCTGCACTTAATAGAGAGGCGAGGTAAAAGGCTGTCGAAAGTACCACTTGGCCTTTTTGCTTGTAACCTTCAGCCCAGGGCATTTCCTTTAGATGTAGGATATTCCTCCAACACATCTCGTTTGGGAATTCGCTGGCAAATCGCCGACCCAACAGCGGGTCCACAGGCGTACCTCCGAGACGGTATCTTCGCGACACGCGAGACTCTCTCCAGTATCTCCTTCTATGGTCCCAAGAGTAAGCTGGAAGCCCCTTCATCAGTTTGGGGGTCTGGCTTCTGACAGCCTGGATAAACCTCCCAATGTCCAAATGTTCAGCCATCCGTTCCCAGAGGCAACCAACGGCGGATGATGCAGCCTTGAGGTCATTTTGCCCTCGGTGGAGTAACGAAGTATAAAGAACATTCGCCCATCCTTTGTGCTTCAACGTATCCAACACTGGACCACGGAGAGCTGGATGAGGTCCAATTTCGATACATGCACCAAGGTTTTGACAGTCACCAAGTGAACTCTCCACTGCCTGGGTAAAGAGGACGGGCTTGACCATGTTATCGACCCAGTAAATTGCAGAGAAGGCCTGCATATCCCTGTTCATGGTTGCACTGCTTCCAGTTACTGTAGAGATCCATGTACAGCCGCTCCTGGGTGATTTCACTTGGATGTTGCATGCCTTCAATGCTTCAAGATATGTAGCAGCACAGGGCACCATATGATGTGAGTGATACGCCACACCAACCTGTAAGGCTCTTGCGAATGTCTTCTTACGGTCAAGGAGTGCCTTGACTTCGAGAATCGCATCGTAATCACCCGATAAGGTTGTGCTCAGAGGCCCATTGCTCGCTGCCACCACGATCCTCCCCGAATATGACGGCTGAGAGCATAGATCTCTGGCGTCGGAGAAGGAAAGGCCCACAGCGAGCATGCCACCCGATTTCGCGGGTTTGGAGTGCAAACCACGGTAATAGGCTATCTTCATGCAATCCTCTGCCGAAATGATGTTGAGCACATGGGCGGCCACTATTTCGCCGGACGAGTGGCCCACGACCAGATCGACGTGGACTCCAGAGGCACACAGCAAATCATAGACAGCTATTTCAATTGCTGTCGTTACCGGTTGACTTACTGCAGGGTTAGAGAGGCTTGACGAGGGTTTGTCTGCTAAAAGCTCCTCCTGTAGGGACCATGAGGGGCCATCGGGAAGAGTTGCTAGAGCACGCTCACAGCGCTCGATCGAGTTGCGGAAAATGAAAGACGAACGTAGCAGTTCACGCCCCATTCCAGCCCATTGTGCCCCTTGTCCTGTGAAAATACCCATAATCCGTGGTGGTTCGGGTGACTGCTTCTGTGGAAACTGGCCTTGTTCGCTGCTTCGGCTGGCTTTGTACTCTTCAATGACCTGCTCGATACTGCTAATGAGCTCGTCTCTATTTAAGGCACTGATAGAGACCTTGAATGGCAGGATGGTTCTTTTGGCTAAGGTCCAGGCCAAATTATCCAGATCTAATGCAGCATTGTTCTTCACGTATCGCGCTATTCGTTCCATGTTTGAATAGAGGGACTCCTGAGAGTGTGCTGAGAAGAGGAAAGGGCCGGCGATGGCATGTCCCTTGACAGTTGATTGTCTACAGTAACTGACTTGGTTTTCCGATTGGCGGGGTACATAGCTCTCGATAATGGCATGCGTGTTAGTCCCTCCAAAACCGAAGGAGTTTACACTCGCCCTCATGGGAGAGCCATGGGCAACGGGTGGCCAGGGTATACTGCGTGTTGGAATCTTGAGATGGTCGTAGAATGGAGTGATGTTGGGGTTAAGGTTGTCAAAAAGCATGTTTGGGGTGATTTTCCGGTTCTTCAGGCACATTATAGCCTTCAGCACGCCGGCGAGACCTGCACAGCCTTCCAGGTGGCCAATGAGAGTCTTGATACTTCCGACATAGAGTTTGTCGTCTGGACTAAAGACAACGTTCTTTGGGTAGAAGGCCCGCTGGATTGCTTGCGCCTCGACGGGATCTCCTGCCTGCGTTCCAGTCCCATGGCATTCAAAATATTGGCACCGGTCCTTAACCGGATCCAGGCCACTGCGTTCATACGTATGACGGATTAACTCCGCCTGGGCTTCGGGGCTGGGTATCGTAATTCCTGCAGATCTGCCATCCGAGTTGACCGCAGTCTCCCGAATGATACACTCTACATCGTCACCATCGTTCAAGGCCTGATCCAACGTTTTGATCACGAGCGAGGCGCACCCTTCCCCTCGGGCGTAGCCATCAGCATCCCGGTCCCACATGCGACATCTTGACGTTGGGGACAGCATATGTAGGTTGGAATGACTGATATAAACCTCCGGGTCGAGTAGGAGATTGACACCACCTACAATAGCGGTGCTGCAATCACCGCTGCGCAGGCTTTGGACCGCTTGGTGCAATGCTACCATGGAGCTGGAACATGCAGTATTGATAGTCATGGACGGCCCTTTCAGATCAAAAAAGTAGGAGACGCGATTTGAGAGGATACTCGGCGATATCCCTGTTGCATGCCATCGGCTGATTGTGTCCAAATCGCGAGCTTGAATGTCATGATAGTCCGAGGTCATCGCGCCAATAAACACCGAGGTGGGCGAGCCGCGCATCTGGTTCAAGGTATATCCTGCAGCTTCGAGCGCCTCATAAGTCGTCTCGAGTAACAGCCGTTGTTGTGGATCCATTGCCTCCGCCTCCGCCGCACTGATATTGAAGAAACCAGCATCGAAGCGATGTACATCGCTGTCTAGTATATAGGACTTGTTGGGGACATCTGTAGCTCCATGATGCTCGCCGTTATGATGATGGAAGCTGGAGAGGTTTAGTCTTTCGGGATCTAGATCCCTAAGGACATCTCTTGGATTGGACAATAGCTCCCAGAGTTGCGAAGGGGAGGCTACATCGCCTGGAAATCGGCAGGCGGTCCCAACAACAGCAATCGGCGTCTTCATGACAGCGAGATAGTCTTAACATTGACAAAGGAAAACTTTCCAGCAGAGATATGGAACAGGGCCGGTAGGCTTAGCAGTGGAAATGGCTGGACGACTACAGCAAGACTAAGTAATTTACATAATGGCACCTTGGAGCTTTATCCTATCATCACGGCAGTCAGCCCCATTCAACAACAACCGTTACTAACAGTGCGCTTGATGGGTTGAGCCATTGCTTACTCTGAATCTACGAACCGCAACTGTTTTTGGTGCGTGGCACTTGGTAACCCTTGCAGTGAAACTCGTTTTGTGGCCGGCATTTCAGCTGAAGCAATTGCCTGTATAGTCATAGGAAGGTTATGCACTATTCAGCGGGTCCGATCGCCGTACTTGCGTGATCTCACAATTGGTCTGGTCCGGTGTGGGTATCGGCCATTCCAGGATGCTGCATCTTACGTACAAATGGCCACCTTGCAGATATGATTCTAGATCTTGGCGATCACTACATTACTGCTTGACATTGCCACAAAGATTTTACCTAAAATTATCACATGCACCTTGACATTGGTACTGCAATAGATAGTAAGCTCTGCATTGTGGTCTTGTCATTCGTATCTCGACCTCATTGTCTCAAGGGGCCAAAAAAAGTGCCCCACAGCGACAAAACTAGGGCGCACGCTCTTGCAGAGGAAGGCCAAGTCTCTTGAACACTTTCGGGCAAGGAATGTGGACCTCAGCCAGCCAGCAGTCTTCAATGTCTCTCTGTGTGGGCCAACAGGAAACACAGTTACAAGAGCCAGCGAGATGGACCTTGGCACTCAATGCATGTAGGCTCGTATAGCCTGCGTAATGCAGTCGCTGTCACAAACGCAGGGAGAGAGCGATGCCCCCACCAAGTCAATCACGAAATGAAAATCAGGCTATTCTGGAACCTGAACAGAAAAGGAATGGTAGTATTCATTGGGTTCCCCTCGTCCGTTTGACTACGAGCTCATACAGCAAACCTCTAACCATAACGCTAAACGATGGAAATCCCCAAGAAAACAACGGCACGGCTGCCAAAGCCCTTCTACGTACTGAGTAAAGCCCTGAACCTCTCGGACAAGGACCACGCAAAATGGTGGTATAGCACCGCTCCAATGTTTGCCACCATGATGGCAGGGGCTGGATATGACATTCACGCACAGTACAAGTTCCTCTGCATCCACCGCGAGGTCATCATCCCAGCGTTGGGTCCGTACCCCGAAAAAGGTCAGCCCATGCACTGGAAGAGTCATCTCACGCGCTTTGGACTTCCCTTTGAGCTGAGCTTCAATTACTCCAAATCACTACTACGGTTCGCCTTCGAGCCCCTTGGTCCCCTAACTGGAACACAGGATGATCCATTCAACACCCAAGCCATTAGGCCTGTTGTCCAGGATCTCAAGGCCATGGTTCCAGGGGTTGACCTGGAATGGTTTGACCATTTTACCAACGCACTGGTCGTTTCGGACAAGGACGTTCAGACTCTGCGCGAGGCAAATACGGAAATCCCTGTCTTCAAGACACAGAACAAGCTGGCAGCCGATCTGGAGCCATCTGGCCATATTGTCTTGAAGACCTACATCTACCCCCGGATCAAGTCGATCACGACCGGGACGCCGAAAGAGAGGCTCATGTTTGACGCGATCAAGGCTGCCGACAAAGGTGGTAAAGTTGCCACCCCACTGGCATTCCTCGAGGAGTTTGTAGCTGAGCGAGCGCCTACCCTCATCGGCCACTTTCTCTCCTGGGATTTGGTTAAGCCATCCCAGTCCCGGATCAAGGTCTATTGTATGGAACGCCAGCTGAACCTGGCCTCCATTGAAGGAATATGGACTCTGAATGGGCGACGGAACGATCCAGAGACCCTGGACGGGCTGAATGCGCTCAGGGAGCTGTGGCAGCTATTACCTATCACACAGGGTCTGTGTCCACTGCCAAACTGCTTTTACGAGCCTGGTACCTCACCGCAGGAACAGCTTCCCTTCATTATCAACTTTACCTTGTCTCCTAAAAGCCCCCTTCCCGAGCCACAGATATATTTCCCTGCTTTTGGGCAGAACGACAATGCTATCGCGGAAGGACTGGCCACTTTCTTTGAGAGAAGAGGGTGGGGTGGCTTGGCTAAAAGCTATCCATCGGATTTGGCATCGTACTAGTAAGACTTCACATATGCCAAATGCAATGAATGAGTGTGGCTGACCTCAACCCACAGTCCGGATGTCGACCTGCATACCTCAAACCACCTGCAGGCGTGGGTCTCCTTCTCTTACAAAGGAAAAAAGCCGTACATGAGTGTCTACCTCCATACCTTCGAGGCTTGCAGCGCTGCTGCCAAGGATGCGACAATGTGTCGCGAGGGTCAGAATCATTAAGAAAAGTTTAACTATTCGTTCACCTGCATCCACCAGCTGTGATTGATTTCATTCCGGATACTCGTAGTCGCAGATCATTTCCTTAGCCAAGAGTGTTGCATATCCAGGGAGAAGTCTAGTCTGCTTAGCTTAGGACAAGAAAAACATTGAATCTTCTCTCTATCCCACTTTTTATTTCCTGTGCGTAGGAGTACTAGTAACCCTAAGCCCCCTTGTTGCCACGCTCTTCATGAAAGGCAACGAGAGCCACGTTCCAGTGGTACGAAGTGCCAAGGGATCTACAAACTGTATTCGAGAGAGTTTAACCATGGTAACTTCCGTACCCCTTGTAAGTCTCTGTGTTGAGGAATGATCTTTCTTAGATGTGTGGGTGGGTACAAGCATATTCAATTGTCAAGTTCTAGCTAACTGCATTTTTGTGAATCATTACTAGACAACTTTCGCAGTACGGTCGCCATCGTAGAGTTGCACAAACCAAGGGATGCCCAATTGCTGGAGGCAGCGATTAGGAAGAAGCCATCTGTTCAAGAACCTCATCCGTATACCCCCATAGTAAGGTGGAGTAATCCGACGCCCAAGTGGCGCCTGTCCAGAACGTGCTGTTCAGCCCCTGGAGCTCATACAGCTGGCGGTAAAACCCTCCACGGATTTCCTCGGCTGAAACAAACATGGTTACCGGGGTGTGCTTCGCGAACTTGACAATCTGAGGCTGGTGCGTAGAGTATGTTCCCTCCTCATGGAGAAGCTCGAGCTTCTTATACATGTACGCCTTCGCCTCGTCCTTGCCAAAGTTGGATCCACCGACTAACTTAATGTTATGGTAGCTCGGGGCCCAATGATTGTCGAGACGCCAGATAAATGGTTCCTCGGGAACACCGTAGGGGCGTTCAGTATCAACAGTTACAATGTTCACATCGTCGGGGAGACCGGTATCATTGACAAGAGCAGCCCAGTACTGGTGATACTGCCACTTCGAGAAAATGTAAGCTTCCTGATCACTGAGCGGAAAGCCGTGGAGGTTGTCCAGCAGGGGCGGGATGGTGACTAGGAGCTGCTTGCCCTTGAGGAGCGTCTTGGCCCCATCAGCACTGCGTACGATAACTTCTACACAATTCTTGGAGCGTTGGACAGACTCGGGAGTCGTTTCCAAGAGAACGTCACTACCGAGTTCCTTGCCAGCGCTCTTGTACAGAGCGGCGATACCCTCAATAGGACGGACGTAGCCCTCATTCAAGGCCGCGGCGTGGGGGACCCCGATGTATTGGATGACATAGAGGGTGATCATTTCAAGGACATCGCCAGAAGTATGAGAGAAGAGAGCATACACGGCATCTTCCAGATGGTACTTCTTTACGAAGTCCGCGAAAGGCATGATTAGGTCCTCTGGCACCGGCTCTGGGATGCGGTAGACTCCCTCATCCAAGAACCCAAACTGAGAAATGGCATCGACCCATTTCGCAAAGGCCTCCCTGTCCTGGAGCTGGCCTGGAGGGTATTCTGTTCTTTGCCCTGTGTTGAGGTTCACGTAGTCCTCGTGCGCGGGAGCAGGGTTGCGGCGCCCATAGGGTACCTGAAGCCGTTCGAGGTATTGCCGAGTCACGGTCGTGTTGAAGAACCCTTCCACACCGTAGTTGAGAGGTATATTATCTTCAGTGTAGTAGGTTTCGCCGTGACCGCCCAGATAATCGTTGCGTTCAACGACAGCGACGGTCTTGCCTTGATCCTTGAGTCGAATCGCGGCATACGTGCCCGAACTGCCGCCACCAAGTATGATTACATCGCGAGAAATGGTGCCGTGGGCAACGATCCCATTCGCCAGGCTTAGCCAGGCGACACTGGAAAAACCAAGTAAGCTCGCGATCCTGGCAACCATCTTCGAAAATGTCAGAAAGGAAAGTAGAAGATGACTGATTGCAGTCCAATGAGCAAAATTCCACCGATTTAAACGTAACAGACAGTCACCCGACGTTCGCGCAGCCTCGTGTGCGTGAAGCTTCTTGCCTCGCGAAATTGCTCATCTTGAACCCTTGCGCCTTGGCTGGATTCTAATCGGCGCTGGTCAAATTGCGGTGGAGAAATGAAATGCCTGGCCATGAAGGGCTGGATTTGCAATAACCATGCGATTAACCTTCTTTCCTATCAGACATGCATATCCGCTAGTGCCTTGGATCAGCATCCGTGGCCGAGTCCGACAGGTGCGTGTCGATTAGGCTCTTCAAACGCATTCTGAAAGGCTAGTTTCGACGGAGCTACATTCTTGTGTCCTCAGTTGGTCTCGTTCAATTCCACTGTGCCGTATTGGCTAGTCTAGCGTGAGCTTCCAATTACTGACCCTGCATATTGCCAGTATACTGACCTAACACACAGTGCATACATAGGTAGGCAGCATTGCGTCTGACATACTTAGTCAGAACCAACTGAAATAAGTAACTTAACTACCAGGAGATTAATCGTTACCAAATATGGTACGGTTCGGCCAGCCACGGATATCACCTTACATACTACAGGCATGGATTCTTACTTTGAACGTTCAATCATGGCCCCTCTCAATTATTGTGTTCAACCTGGTTACTTCGGGGACTAGAGCCCATCAGCTGTGAGATTCGTGATGGATCTGATTTGAGTCCTCCCTAGATACCATAAGGAACCGGTGAGTTACTGCGTGAGACCCCCCTTCAATCTGCAAGTCGTGCAGGGATCCTACAACTCGGTAGGTAACATGCGCACTCAGTTAGCCCTAATCAAGAAAAAGCAAGCAGAAGAGGAAGGCGAAAATCGGAAGAGGATCATGGCTGGTGATTCTACTTCAGCGACCCTTTGTAGAGCATAAACATCAAGTACACAGTGTTACCAACAGCTATGAAATTCTAATACGGGCCAAACCACGCAAAGCGGATACAAACAATGATACTCGTGATGCAAAGACTATCTCCTCAAACTGTCAGGTTGCCTTCCCTATCATCCACATTCTCTTAAACGTCAGCGTAATACTGGGGTAAATTTGATGTTCAACAGCTTTGTACTCCAGACGTTGAAGACCAACGCCTCTTCCCACTGCTCCGATCCAGGAGCTAGCTCCCAATCAAATTCCCAGATCAACCGAGCCAGGACCAGACGTATTTCCAACCGGGCGAGATTATGGGCAATGCAGTTGCGAGGACCATAGCTGAACGCCTGCATGGCGTGGCGGTCGTCGTTCTGGTACACGGGATCGCCGAGCCATCGTTCAGGGATGAATTTGTCCGGATCGACAAAGTTTCGGCTGCAACGATTGATGCAGTAGTGCGCGATGCCCACTTGAGTACCACCAGGGATTCAATGCCCGTCGATAAAATCACCCCCCGGAGGGACTCGGCGCGGAAAGACGGCGGGACCAAGAGGGAAGATCCGGAGCGCCTCGTTCATGCACGCGTTCAGATACTTCAGTTGATTCACGCTGATCGAGTTAATGTCTCCAACGTTGTGAAAGGTGCTTCGGATTTCGCCGATCACTTTGCGCTTGGCATTTTCGTTCTGGGTCAGGAAGTATAGCGTGGCGCTCAAAGCGGTTGCTGTCGTTTCGCTCCCGGCGATGATGAGGGTTGAGCAATTCCCGTCGATCTCGTAACGCTCGAGCCCGTTCTGTGGATCTAGCAAGTTGGTGGTCAGATCAGATCTTTGTAGTGGGTCTTTCGGTCCATTCGACGCTGCACCTTGTCATGGGTGTACGTCCGGTGGGTGACAAATTTATCGCGTAAGGACTTGAGCACGAACAACATCAAGATATGGAAGATCCACGGATAGTACCCCACAGCATGCGTCATGGCACGGAGTTTCATTACCTTGAGAATTATTTCCACCCAGGGATGGTACTGCGAGTTCTCCAGGCAGCCGTAGGTCTCGCCGAATGCAAGCTCGCCGATCAAGTCGAATGTCGCATACTGGGGCAATGTACTCCGTCAGGTGCCACTTTACTCGGCCAGACAAGGGGTCGAGGTGGATTTACGTTGAACCAAGCCGTCATTTCCGGTGTCCTTCCTGCTGCTACTTCCTCATGCAGCTTCTCTATCAGTAGATTGATGTTGCGTTGAATCACTGGCTCCTGCTCCCTCAATGCAGCATTCGAGAAACCCTTGGCAAGCAGACGGCGGTAAACGTGATGCAGCTCGCCATCTACCGTGACGATTGAATGAGGAGCAGTGGAGCCCTTGTAGAGGGGTATCCTTGTTCATCTCGGGCTTCCCGGGGCGCGCACCGTAGATGTCATCCCATGCACGACTCGAAGTGAAGAGCACCTCGTCTGGAGCAATCCGTAACACTGGTCCATATGTCTCGTGTGCCCACGAAAGGGCTACAACGATGTCTCCGGTACATAGATGGTAAGAATGCCACAGGCGTGTCACCGCTGCCAGTTTTGGCCCGGGATACTTTGCGAGCGGATGGAGTGAGACCCTGTATATGCCGACGATAATGCAGTACTGCCCAGCTCGGTTAGCTTTGGAATATACATGTAGCCAGATTAAACTGGCAACTCACCGTGACCCCAATCAGCAAAACCGTTGTCAAAGCCTTCCTGAGTGAGAGGCTATCTGCATTCGGATTACTAGTTTTGTAGATAGCGCGGCGAATGATCTCGCTAGAGAATTGGCTCATTTTGGGTAGATTCAGGCCAACAGATAGACGTGGATCCAGTAGCCAAAGGTATTCTGGGAAGAAGGTTGAGAGCGATCTTCTTATGTGTTGAAGAATTTGCCCCACAAGTTGCGCAAGAAGGGGAAGGCACGCAAGCCAAACATTCAAAGTAGCCTTAGATTGAACTCCTTGCCTATTGGGTCGCCACACATGTGCAGCAGTTGTCCATCTTTCGCTCACGCCGCACCTTACCCTGTAGACCTTCTGGGTCGTCTCATTTATCTCTCGTTTGGTCGACTGGTATCAACCTGTGTCTTGGATGTTTACTTTTCACAACATATGGTCATATTCAACCCACCCCTAGAGCGACGCTGATCCGCAAACGTGCTTTACATAATGAAGATCGGACTTCTGGTTTTACGCGGAGATGTTGTAGAGGAAGTCAGTGATGCCGTCTGCCTTTATTAATTCCTGTCTGGTCTTCAAGACACAAACTCATTCTCCCACTTGATCAGGGCCCAAGTACTATCGATCTCAGTCGCTATATACCTCAAGCTCGTCATCAGTTTGAGACCCTTTACATCGGCAAGTCTAAGGCGGAGGCAGATATCGATGACATCTGCAGAGATGGCTATGACATCGTTCTGAATTACATGGTTCGTGTAATTGAATGCCGTGAGAAAGAATATCACTGATCGGGCACGGATAGACGGCAGAGTCAGCCGATGGTGTTTCAACAGCGGCAGCGATCACGAGATATCTCGAGGCGAAAGATATCTCAGTTCTCAACCGTCCGTTCTACACTCAAACCACCGAGGCGGGAGAAGAAACACATCGTTTCCGCATGTCGATAAAGACACCCCAACTGAACCTGGAACATCTCAAGGGCAACAGGTGGGTCATCCTAGCCATGGAGATGGGCCGAGAGGAGATGGTGTTTAGTCCTGCCCAATGCGGCACCTCCGTGTGTCTTGATGGAGACAATTCACACTCCGCATCGACAGATTTCGCCTGGGTCAGGGAAGACCCCCTGCAGTCCATGTTGAATTCAATGGCGTTGGATGTACTGAGAGTGTCTGGTGGTGGATTTGTGCGTGTGGAGGCTTCGTTAAATACAGAGGCTGACAATATGTACCTGGAGGGTCTCCTTTGTCCTCCTCGCGCATTGTACGGTGATGGGTATACCACATATGACGACGTGGTGATCAAAGAGGAGTTTCCTGGCGGACATATGGCATTCTTGAACATGCTGATCACCAGTAAACAGATCCGCTCGGGTCAGGATCACGCCCGGAATCAACACCTGGCGGGTGTTTATGACGGCTTTGCCCCTCGCTACCATGCTGCTCGGGCCAATACTGGGCTGAGTCGGATGCAGGAAAATATGAGCCGAGAATACGATATCTCAGGAACAGTCCTTGACCTCGCGTGTGGTAACGGTGAATTCGGAGCCACCCTTCATGAACATGGAGTCTCTGCAAGAGTCACTGGCATCGACGTCTCCGAGGGGATGACCCGCTCGTCATACATTCAGGATCACTACGAAAAACCGCTCCTGATCGGGCCGATGGACGAACTTATCATGGTCAGTTCCCCGGTTTCCTGAATATGTGTTTTCTTCCATGGTAATCGTTGCTGATTGACAACAAGGGCATGCCTGAATTCGACCATGTGGTTTGCTTCGCGGCATTTCAATTTCTGGACCCCGTCCACTTGACGGCGTGTTTAGCTCGCATGTTCATGATTGCTCAAAGGTCGGTGACTGCGATCCATGAGGACCTTACTGAGATGTACATTGAAGATATAAAGAAGCGGAACGGTGAATTGTGTAGTAATTTCAATCATATCTCTACCCTGGAGGACTTTGGTGTGCCCAAAGGTTGGATGCAAGTTCTCATGGAACGATTCCCCTTATATGATAATCCAAATCTGGGGGTGACTGTGTATGGATTTGCGGTTCGTTTTGAGAGAACGTAATAAACATAAAATAATCCAGTTAATTCATTTCTTCGGATTTGTTACTATGCTTGAATCGGGTTACTTCATAATAGTCCAGCAAATCGGGTTAAGCTTGCGTCCGGCGCCTTATAAATTCATTACCCAACTTGTTTTCTTTGTGTTTCTTTGTTTACTGGATATTCTTCGTCTTTCATTCGCCAGACATCGGCGACTGCCCATAGGCTAAGCAAGGGGGGTGAAGTGAGCACTAACGGGGGAAGATAAATAAAAGTACTTGTAGCACCTGCCGCGCGTGGAATGTGATCGATGCACATTTCCACCTGTTCCCCCCACCTAAAACAGACAAACCCTAAGTCAGTCCCCTTATACATTTGCTGTTGCGTCAGTATGACTCCCCAATAAACAAAACTCATCGAGGCGTATTCACTTGACTAATGTGCCATCATACCAATCAGAATTTCTTGGCTAGGAACATGGGTCACCAGGAAGAGCCGCCAAGCATATGCAAACCACCCAGTGGGCATGAACAGGGAGAAGGCTCAGGAGAAAAGGCATCAGAACCATCGACCGAGGAGGCGAACTGGAATGGACCGACGGATCCTTCGCGACCGGTGAACTGGTCGAGGAGAAAGAAATGGTGGAATATGGGCATCATCTCCTATCTTACCTTTCTTACCCCCTTAACCTCGTCCATAGTCGCACCGGCACAGGGGCTCGTGATGAAAGACTTCCATTCTGCCAACAGGACTCTAGCCTCCTTCGTTGTCTCCATCTACCTCGTCGGCTTCGCCGTCGGACCGCTGTTTCTCGCGCCGCTCTCCGAAATCTATGGTCGACTGCGCGTCTATCAGGTGGGCACGTTGATCTTTACGACTTGGAACATCGCAAGTGCTCTCGCCCCTAACGTCGGTGCACTTTTGGTCTTTCGTCTATTCGCCGGCATCTCTGGTAGCAGTCCGGTCACACTGGGGGCAGGTTCGGTCGCGGATATATTTGCTCGCCAGGAGCGTGGAGTTGCCATGTCCATCTATGGGCTGGGCCCGCTCCTTGGCCCTGTCATCGGGCCGATCGCAGGTGGCTATCTCTCCGAAGCACAAGGTTGGCGATGGGTTTTCTGGTTGCTAGCTATTGTGGTTTGCGTCCACCATGATCCCTCTACTCCTCGTCCAGAACTAAATAGTCTATCCCTATAGTCCGGGGTCGCGGTCATTCTTGTTTTTCTTGTCCTATCCGAATCGTACGAACCGGTTCTCCTGCGACAAAAAGCGAATCGAATCAGACACGAAAACCGATCTCAGGAGGTGAACGTTGGACAGGCTCTGAAGCTAGACTCAAGGAAGGTTTTCATCCAGGCAATAACAAGGCCCACGAAATTACTCTTCCTCACCCCAAATGTCGCCTTGTTCTCGCTATACACGGGTAGGTAGCTCCCAACCTTGGATGAGGCACAGATCATAATAATTGCGTATCAATAGGAGTCGTTTTCGGCTACCTCTACCTACTCTTCACCACCGTCACCGAAGTATACGAAACCACCTACCATTTCAGTCAGGGTGCCACCGGACCTGTTTACATCGGCATTGGTGTCGGAGCCCTCATTGGTATTTCTTGCTTCGGCGCCCTCTCCGACAAGATCCAAAACCGCCTCATCGCAAAAAACGACGGCCACGCTGAGCCGGAATTCCGACTTCCGCCGCTCATCCCGGGAAGCTTCCTAATCCCCATCGGTCTCTTCTGGTACGGCTGGTCCGCCCAGATGCGTGTCCATTGGATAATGCCCATCATTGGGCTGGGCTGGGTCGGCTGTGGGATGATCACTACCCTTCTCCCCATCCAAGCGTACCTCGTTGACGCGTTTGGCGAATATGCTGCCTCAGCCATAGCGGCGAACACGGTCGTGCGGTCTATTGTTGGAGCCTTCTTGCCGCTTGCCGGGCCTTCTATGTATGCTAAGCTAGGGCTGGGGTGGGGGAATTCATTGCTCGGGTTTGTCGCCTTGGGTTTGTTGCCGGTACCGGTGGTTTTCTACTTTTATGGCAAGAGGATCCGCATGAACTCGCGCTATCAGGTGTCGGTGTAATAAATGTGGTGTAATAGTTTAATACATACCAATGGTTCATTTCATTAGCGAGACAACTCTTATCGAACTGTTGTTTTAGGATAGATATTGGTTCCGACGCTCTGCTTCTCTCTATGTATATAGCATTCGTAATTCTAGACATACCATTTGTTCAAGCCATGGGAGCTGAACACGATATCCAAATTGTTCACTTTCTACTTGCTATCTTTAAACTGCAGAATTGGCAAAGGTAGAAGATACACCTGCATAACGATCCAGTAGCGGTCGATTGAAGAGGTAGTCTCGTCTTGTCCCGGGTTCCGCACATTGCTGACCCTGCTCCATTGGAAAGAGTTTTCCTGGCAGAAGTGGTTGCCGCATCACTCCCGGTAGTTATGGTACTAGAGTCGAGCAATTCTCTATTTTGATAGGCCTCATTAAAGGTGGACAGGTTTTCATGGCGCCCATCCTCTACTTGACTCGCTACGGCACCCGGAACGGCACCGCGGGAAGGAGGCTATGGTTAATCATTATTTCAGTAATCAGACTGCGATCAACAACACCGCACGTTGCCATCTGTGGCATTATAACAATAAATATTTCCTCTTGTGTTGGAATGAACTTTAGGATTGGTGGTGAAGAAATCTATCAGGAGGTATCTGGAGTTGGGGGTTGGGTTGCTACGGCACACTTACATCTGCGAAGAATTAGTGACCCATAGATTAGGAGATAATTCTGTCGACAATCTCGTGACAAACATGCACTGATAAAAAGCAGCAAGAGACCCTGAGTATAGTAATATCATAAGGGGCGAGTCATGCCTATCGTGATGGCAATATCGTGTCCCCATCAGATAGTTAGAAAAATACAATGACCTATGGCAAACAGATTCTGGCAGTGTAGTAGAGAGCTTTAGATGAACGATGTTAATTTAGATTGCATTAGAGCAGTCGAGTGAAGGGTGATAAATACTACCTGAAATATCGCAGGGCGCAGTGGACGTATACACAGCTTTTCACAGCATACAGTTCAAGCTTAATAGGATGCATTACTTGCACAGGTCACCACAAACCCTCCTGCCGCTGCCTCTACACCTTGCAAATATGGCCTCAACTGACTGTCAAATGCCAATGAAGCCCAACCCAATCACATCAGCCAAGACCCCAGCAATCATCATGCCCATGATGGCTAGCACTGGCCTTAAAACAGAGCGTGAAGACAAAGATGAAGCCCCACCATATTTTATGGACCTCCTCTCCACCCTTTATGCCTTAACTCTCCAAGCATTGTTTGATGCTGCTAGCTTTGCTCCCAGAATCGCAGAATCGTCAAGTATCACCGTAGGTCTGAGTATGGTCCGTATTGCCACAGCTACCCTCGAAAATGAGCAGAGAGTCTTGGGAATCATATGGCCATGCAATGGTTGTGTGTGCCTCTAGTCATCGGGGGCAGGTCGCGGGATTCGGGACGTGAACGTGAACGTGAACGTGAACCTGGAACTTTGGTTCCACGGTCTTCTCCTCCACTTCCTCCCATTTTGATTTTAATAGGGCTGGTGTGAAACAGTATTACGTCTACATGGCAAAGTCTATTACTGACTGAGGGTCGGAGTGGACTAGTGAACGTGAAATTGTAGACAAGCACCCTGCTAGTGACTGCCACCATTGGATCTTCGGGAGGAGTTAGAGGAACTATATTTACCAAGCACACATTATGCTCTTGTATTATTAGTGATACAGTACAGAAGGGCCTATCTGTCCAGACGATTTGAAGTGATGTAAGGCTTTGGTAAACTGAGATCTTACAGTAGACTCTGAATTCAAGTCATGGGATATATTTTTTGCAAAAAAGGTCTACCTAATCAATCTTTCCAAACACCACTGAGCCATATACAGCTTAGTTCTCCGGCCTCCTAGTTTGGAAGGGGGCGAGCCGAGAGAATGGCGACTTCATCTCCGATAGTATTGGGGCGGTCCTTGAAATGCAACGCAAGATGAGGAATAAGAGCAGGCTTCATATGCTCATAATTAGGGTCCTCCTTAAACCAGAAGCCCACCAGAATATCAGCCGCTTTTTCACATCTTTCTGCCAGATCCTCCTCCGGGAATGCACAGAAAGCGTTGACACGGAAGATTTCGATCTTTCTAAAGCCGTCCTCAGAGAATATCTTGGCTGCAGTATGTAAGAGATATCCTTGGTGATCAACTCGTTTGTTTACAGCACTCAAGGGAGCGCAAACCTCATTGAGTAGATTCACAAGCTGGTTGTCAGGTGCACCTTGGACGACCACAGGTCGAGCATTTGGGTTGCTAATGTCTGCGACTCTTGCCATTTCCCGGAGTGATTTTTCCAAGTCGTCCCCGTAATGCATAACCCATATCGCGATGACGGCATCAAATTTTCCGTCGGGAAATGGAAGATTCTCGGCTGACCCTACACGGACCTCGACGTTTTGAGCATATCCTTTTGGTTGTAACGCTAGGAAATACCCCAAAGTTATATTCCTCGTGACACCGAATACCCTACTCCGATAAGCAGCTCGTATCCTCGCAGGGATGTAGCCCAACTGTGAATTTTTTTTTTTATTAAGTATAGAGATTAATCGATTATGTAGGTGATTCTGGAATATATTCCCTTGCAGAAGTATGCATTCTTTGTCAGGTGACAGCGAATAAGTGAAAGTAGTATAGCGCTCCTCTTTCGGATTAGCGCCTTACAGTCGCTTGGCAGTGAATTACTCCGTACGGAGGTTCTCTAGAAAACTTTTAATCATGCTGCTTCCGCGGGCCCACCGATGACTGGCCGAATACGCGTCATGTGACCTGCAAATTATACTTTATGCCAGAAACTCCAATATAAATGTTAAAATGTTTAATTAGTAAGTAATGGAAGTGCTTATTTATGTACCTATCCTGGTAACTGAATATCTTTGGCTATAGAGTGTTGAGAAAGGGGGATACTACTAGTCTTAGTGAGAAATGGCAAGATATATATTTACACTATGATAAACCGAGATAGTAGTCCCGCACACTGCCCCGGTATAAGAATAATCCTTATTATTATCGAATGTATAAACCACTAAAACGGCAGCCCCCGGGTGGAAAGGCCACAAAATTCTTTTTCTGAAGACCACGTACAACTGTGTCATTTCCGTTGTTCACCCAGAATTTACTTTGTATGGCACTGTCGCTTGGTCATTTCACGCTTTACCCGATTGGGGAGTCAATCGAGATTTCAATCGATTCTGCCGGTGGTTTCCGATGCTCCCCGCATGCATCTTCTTTCTTGCCTTGGGGACGAGAAATAACAATACACAATGACTCTTGCAGCAGATGCCAATAAGATTTTCCCCATCACCACGTTTATTTCAGACCTGCCGAGCAATCTCACTCCGCAACTCGTCTCATCCGCGGAAGGAAATGAAAATGAACCGGGATCGGCTGCTCGACGCTTAGTCATCGTCGGTGACGTCCACGGGATGAAAAGGTCTCTGGAAGCGCTTCTGGATAATGTCGGCTTCGACAAGGGCAAAGGGGACCATCTTATATTCGTGGGTGATTTGGTCAACAAAGGGCCCGATAGCCCTGGCGTGATTGATCTGGCCGTGGAGTTGGGTGCCAGCGCCGTGAGAGGCAACCATGACAATGCAGTCCTCGATGCTGCTGTGGAAATCAACGCCAGAGGAGACCACCCAACGCATGCTGGAGACATAACCAGCGGTCCTGCCAAGCTACCCGAAAACTCGGGGGCTGAATCAGCTAATGAGACTGTTGCTTCCGACGGCCTCACGCGACACAGCGCAACAACGTACAGCACAGCCCGGGCGCTTTTGACGCGCCAGCTTGACTGGCTCGCCGCCCTGCCATTGATCTTGCGCATCAGACTGCCGCACCATCCCACATCATCCATAGATGACACTCTGGTTGTCGTACATGCTGGTCTCACCCCGGGTATCCCACTTGAGAAGCAAGATCCTCATGCTGTAATGCTCATGCGCAGCCTCGCTCACGCGCCGGGCGACGAAGGCACGTTCATACCGGCTGAAGCATCGGGAGAGGAAGGCTGGGCCGCCCAATGGGATCGGTGGCAGGACCAATTGACAACCAGGACGACTGTGATATTTGGGCACGATGCAAACCGTCGTCTGCAGTTGGGCAGGCATGCAATCGGACTGGATTCCGCATGTCTATATGGTTACCATCTGAGTGCACTTGTCATTGAGTCGACCGACAGGGGAATACAACACCGGGTAGTGCAGGTCGAATGTGCTGACACACCTGTTGTCCGTACAGCAAAAGCAGTGGTCACTTGACTGAACTGGAATCGAATGTGACTTGTAAGTCTTCGGATTCAAGACAGTGTCTGTCTTGCATTACGTGAGGTTAAGTCAGGCCAACCACCGACTCCGCTCATACCACAACTACTCGATGCGTCCATTTTATCCTTTGAGCTTTAAGTTTTATGAAATACCAGAGACACAACCGTCAATCTCCAACGCTATCGTTTATCCCCAGGGCGAAAAGACTTGTGATTGCCGAAAACGGGAGAAGGGCCGCCTTTCTTGCCACACCATCGTTATACTATTTGCCCGCTCATGATTGCATAGTTGACTCAGGTGGTTGAAGACCCTCTGCATTTGAGGCGGCAGCAGGGGAACGGGCTCTGCGGGGACACTAGGGTCAGCTCTAGATACAACTCCTCCAGCTGGTGAGTAAACAAGTTAAATAGAGGTAGGAGGATAAATAGCAAATACCAAAACGACAATCCCAGCAATCAATAAGACGGGGCACTGGCAATTCCATAGCCAGTTATCCTTTTGGATGGCGCATTTTTATCTACAATACACGGTTCCAATCTCCCTAGCTAATTGCTGGTATAGTGTGAAGTACTAAAGACAATAATAATATGTCTAAACTTCAACCGAAATATTCATTGAATATCGTTTAGAATAATTTGTCGAACCGCCTTCTGACAGGTTCTTGGGAACACTGAGAAATTTACGACGATGAAATTAGCGAGTGGATCAGACAGTCGTCTCCAAAATCACTGACCGGTGGCTAAGAATGCATGTTAGCCTAGCAATAGAATTTTGCCTTCTCTGGAGTACTACACGAATGCCCCCACGGGCCATGGCTGCGAGATGTGGATCGCATCCAGGAAGTGAACCTGGAGGAGTGGATTCATGGGTTGCCCAGTCTGGAGATATTTGCCCCCCGGATCATTATCGGAGAAATCTGGGAAAGACTGGCAAATGAGTCCTGAGCGCGCCGACTGCCCCGACTCTTGGCAGCGGACCCCGCCAACCCAACAGAGCGAAGCGTTCTGGACAGGATTGACTTTGTAAAGGAGGATAGACATATCCCAAGTCCCAACAAAGCTGCGACAATTAAGAAGTCGACCATGTCGCAGTTAACCTGCTCTTCCAGACTAAGCTTTGGCTGGTGCCGATTCGCAGTTCGGCTAGAGAAGAAATTTATACGGAGTAAGTTTTCGCGCACTTGGCGGGATGCCGTGGGGTGTGCTTGGCTTGGCTTGGCGCAGTGAGTCGGGATTGAGAGGCGTTGGTGCTGTGCCGGCCCGGTGTCTTGTACTCCGATATGCTTTTGTTTGGGCATCTATTTGCCCGCCGTTACTCGGAAGATATGGCTAGATCGTCGAAGTTCGGGAATCCTGCCCGATGCAACGTGTGTGCGTCTTCAATCCTTCCATAGTAGGAAAGATTGGCATGCGGGTTGCACTGAGCTTTTCTTGAAGAGGGACATTCGTGGTGCCTTGGCCTATACGCTAACTGGAGGAGGGGGCCCCAGAGTCGTCCGAAGTGGGGAATTTGGGGTTGCTGGACCACGATCTGGCGCTAGATGTCGGTCTGCAAACCCCGTGGAGCTTTACCCCGGCCACGTTAAACTTTTACCCCGAACAAGAGAAGGTATAAAGGCTGCCGCTACGAAGCCGTTCTATTTTCCATAGCCTGGTGCCAACTACTGTGAGAGTCTGTGTTTCTCGGCCCTACTGTGCTCCTTCTCCCTCCCTCCAATCTACAACGTTTCTTGGTGTTGCTCAAGATGGCAGGTCTTCAACTCAACATCGACTGGAAGTCGAATCGACGGGCCATTGCCTTCTGTCTGGTAGCTGCGATCGGTGCTCTGTGCTACGGTTATGATACAATCTACTATACTGGTGTTCAAGGGATGGCATGGTTTGCGAAGGACTATGGAGAGGAAGGCTCAGACGGCTCCTTCTCGCTTGGAACAACGTTCCTGTCCTTGTCTGCTAGTATTATCTATGTGGGAGAGCTTGTCGGTGCCATCGCCGCCGCTCCCATAAATGACTTTTTTGGCCGACGTGCCGTGTTCCTGTCTGCGTCGATCTGTATCGTCGTCGGAGCCGTCGTGCAAGCCTGCTCTTTTGGCTCGCATCCGGTTTTTTACGTCAGCCGTGTCCTGATTGGTCTGGGGGTCGGACAGTTCACTGCCACTTGCCTTATCTATATCGGAGAGGTGGCACCATCCGCCATCAGAGGTCCAGCTCTCATGTGCTTCCAGTTCATGCAGTCCATTTCTCAACTTGTGGGAGCCTGCGTCAACCAGGGTACACAGGGCATCCAAAGCTCCCAATCCTACCGCATCCCCATGTGCCTTCTTGTCGTCCTTCCGGGTATCATGCTTCTCTGCCTTCCATTCACCCCGGAAAGTCCAGTCTGGTATATGTACAAAGGCAAGCGCGAGCAAGCGATCAAATCCCTCCGCAAGATCAATCATAGCAACTGCGACTACGACCCCTCTGCAGACATCCAGGCCATCGAAGAGGCTGTCCAGCAAGAACAGGAAATGGCTAAGGACGCCACCTGGGCCTCCCTAATCACCGACCCCGTCGAACGCCGCAAACTTTTCTACGCCTGTGGCGTCATGTTCGTCCAGCAAATCAACGGCATCCAGTTCTGGTACACCTATGGCGTCGTCTTCGCGCAGTCCATCGGCGTCGCGGACCCCTTCACCATCAATACCATCATCTACGTCCTACAGATCATCACTGTCGGTGTCTCTGTCGTCTTGGGGAATCGAATCAAGCGCCGCACGAACCTCCTCGTCTGCTCATGCGGGATGTTCATCTCTCTACTCACTGTCGGCGGTCTCGGAACCACCAAGGCCGCCGATGGCACGCTCAGCCGTGGCATTGGCATTGGCATCGTCGTCCTCGCATACATCAACATCATCTTCTACAACTTCTCCATCGGAACCCTCTCTTACTCCATCGCGTCGGAGATGTCCGTTGGCCGGAACAGAAACAAGATCACCTCGTGCGCTATGGGCGTGTTCTTCGTTACCGTCTGGCTCATGGTCTTCACCAGCCCCTATATGTACTACACGGCGAACCTAGGCCCGATGATCGGATTTATCTATGGGGGTACCACGTTGTTCTTGCTGGCATACTCGTGGTTCTGTGTTGGTGAGACTGCGGGGCGCAGCAATGCGGATATCGACAGGCTTTTCCAGGATAGGGTTCCTGTTCGCGAGTGGGCAACGTATGTTATCCCTGCCGACGATGGGGAGGATTTGAAGAAGAAGGGTACGAACGATGAGCAGATCGAGAGGGTATGAGCTCTATGATACCAGCTATCTGGTCTAACCCAGGAGCGGTGATGTAACAAAGATTCATATATCGTAACATCTATTCTATTTAAATGATATTCCAAATTCACCTTCCGTTTCTTTTCTGAATTTAAAAATAAAACAAAAGAGTCGCTATACACCCAACAAAACGCTCTAGGTTTCTACTCGATGCCTATCGCAAGGCAGGGCCCGTCATCCTGGCGGGAGGTCACAACCACGAATCAGCTAAAGAGGTGCGAGACACTAAGCATGAGGGCGATAACGTCCTGATCGCCTGTGGCCGGCTTTACGTCCCCAATTCTGAATGCATTCTATTCGCTTCTGTGTATGCACGGACGCCATAAAGGTACACCGATTACAAATTCAGCGAAGACTTCAAGGCAAAAATGGTGTTTGCTTGATATAAATTGGAAGGCGCTAGAAATGATTTTCTCTTTCCTTCTCTCCCTATTCCCCATGTCCTTCGTCTTTCGATTCTCTTTTAGCTTATCTTTGCTGTTGTTCAGATCCATTTTGATTCTTTCCTGAGTTCTATCGTATTAGTAACCCTGCCATCGTGTCTGCAGCATACTGAAACAGCTTCGCGGGAATGTCCACATTGCATAGTTCTTAGTATATGATATGTAAGAATATCATCGTGCATGGAAGTAACCGAAGTACTTTAATCACCACGGGCAGGGAGTTTTGAAAACAAGCTGCTAAATGTGCTCACAACTGAAGATGCTGATGGTATGTTGACAAGTGCAAATGAAATGATATCCATAACTGATGCACAATACACCAGGTTAGAGCGCACTGTCTATGGATGATTCGGACTGCTTAGGGGTTTTGAGAATATTCAATTTTTACAAGGTTTTCCAATCGGGTTATAATATTCTTCCGGGGGGCACGTAGTGAGATATTACTGGCATCAGATAAGGCTAAACGCGATTGAATCATCGCGAGCATAATGAATTCATGACTTAGATTGCAATTATTCACCAATAGCATCTATGCACAACAAGCCATTGTGCCGATGTTACATCATGTTTATGACTCCAGCGGGAAGTAGATGAATCCTTCCCGGTCGACAATGATCATCACCACGGAGGCGGGTACACAATAAAGTCCGATTCTGCAAGTTGTCCAACCAACGACTTTACGTTTCGCTGGGAGAACTATCCTATCGCATGCATGGGGAACCACGTGGCCCATTGCGATACTCCTTCGGCCCCAGAGTCTTCAACCTGGTGCATCCTTCCCCAGATTATGGGCCAATCACAGTTGATTCGAATTGCGGAGATTAGCTTAGAGTGCTTGTTATGGCTTGTTAGAACCTTATTTGCATCCCTTATCTGTGATCAAATAAGAAGAGTCGGGTATTGAAATAAGTTCCGCTCGAGCATATAACTTGCCTACTCCGTGCAACTTCCAAGACTACACAAACCAGCTTCTAGTGTGTTTTCCTTTCTGTCAACCCATTCTGTATCACTTACTTCTACTGCGCTATGCGTCTTCTTGCTGTTCTTGCAGTTATTACCCCTCTTGTCGTTGCTCTACCGGCAGACAAGAGGGAGTCCGGTTGTGTTGCCTTGAACAATTGCCCTGGCAAGAGGGAAGTTCTGGAAGGCCTCTCGGAGAAGGAAGCTGGCTGTATAGTCCTGAACAACTGCCCGGAGAAAAGGGAAGCACTGGTAGGCCTCTCTGAAAGAGAAGCAGGATGTATCGTTCTGGGTACTTGTCCTGACAAGAGGGAGTCTGGCTGTGTGGCACTGAACAACTGCCCCGGTAAGAGAGAAGAGATTGCAGGCCCGTCGGAAAGAGAGACTGGCTGCATAATTCTTGGAACTTGCCCTGAAAAGCGAGAACTTTTCAACGGCCTGTCCGAACGAGAGGCCGGCTGTATCATCCTGAACACCTGTCCTGAAAAGAGAGCAGCGTTGGTTACGAGAGAGTCTGGCTGTGTGGCCCTTAACAACTGCCCCTCAAAGAACTAGGAGAAGTAAGTGACGCTCCCCAATATGCTAATAGAGCACGTACTGACTATCTCTGACAGTCATTACTTGCCAAGTCTCCCCAGTGGATCACGAATACCGCATAACGAAGTCCTATGCTCTCACACCACACGACAAGGTCAAGAAAACGCAAGGAGTAGTTACATGGCGGGAATCTTGGTGATCAGGGGTTGGTCTTATCGGAGTCGCACAATCTCTCTGCACATGTTGATCCTCAGACTTTCCCTGGCCTGTAGCCAGTTTGCTGGATGCATGCCTCGAATATGACTACAACTTACAATAACCTTATGATAGAGGTCGCTGCATCTCGTAGTTTAACTCCCAAATAAACTTTTAGTAACATAAAAAGACGGCTACTTGAACAACACTGTATATTCCTGGTGTGGTTCACCTGGTGCAGTCTGGTGTCCATTTCACCATTTGAGAATTCAGCTAATACTAAAAGTTTGGTGACAATTGGCGGCGTTTCAATATCTGATCAATTCCAGGATCGGCTCCAGTCATCAGTCTTGTCGACTTCCCTTTTTGTAATTTCTACCTTTCTCGATTGACGTCCTTATATATTCCCTTCAGGCATGTTCGTTGGTGCGTATTGCGCCGAGTTCCCAATCAGGAAGTTTCTGCCTGAGGAGAATATCGTTACTGGATATAGTATAGCGTCAATAAATGGATAACCGTGAGCAATGAGTCAAGGTGTGGTTGACATTCTGTAACATATCCCACGCGCTACACGTTCTACAACTCATCAATGACACATCCCAGTTCACGTTATCTGTACACTGACCTCCTCTTACTTATCAATCACTTCCTAGCACTATTTGTAGCGCTAACTAAAAAGCTAAGGGCCCAAAGTCTAGGACACAGGAAGAAGTCACGATGAAAATCACAGCGCAATCTGCGGGTGGTGTAGCTGACGAGGACGACCAAGTTCTTGAGGCAGGCTTTTGCGAAGAGCCTGATGGCTCAGGTTTGGCGGTGGTCTTCCAGCGCGACCTTCTCGTGGACAGTCCATGGGACGGTGATTGCGGAACAAATGATTACTTCTCGAACAGCTACTGTGTAACCCTTGGATCGGGCGAGACAGTATACGGAGGGCTAGAGCAGGTCGCCTTCTCAGGGAAACGGGGAACTTTTGATTTCGCCGACCCCATGGCCGGCATTCTCGGCATAGGATCACAGCTCATTGTTGATTTCGAAGTGTCCGAGCAGGACCTGCTGCTCTTTCAAGAAACGCTTAAGAAGATAGTAACATGGGGGGTTCCCAGTCAAATCCCTCGACTGAATGGATTAAGCTAGTCCCCTGTCTAAAGGTTACATCTCCACGACGCTGCGGCCAAATCACTTTTCCTTCTTCATGGGGCAACGTGGGTCTCGCCGTTTTACCAATAGAGCAGATTCCACTTTCTTCTGGGAGAGCATATTGCGCAGTAGGATAGTGATCTGGCTTGAAAAAAAAAAAATCTGGTTGGACGCGAGATAGCAACGTTATATTCATCCTCTTTTATGACCGCCGGCTTATCGGACTAGCGCCCCTCCCTAAGATTTATGGGCTGTGGGTCAGTTCCAGGCTAGCCCTATATGATCGATACGTAACATGTTCGAGAGGTACGGCGAGGAGAGATCGAGATCATGTAGGATGCTTCTCCCTGCTGTCATCATCTTTAGTCATTGAGTAGGCCCATACTGCTCTTTGCAGGAAAATGCAACAATAACTTACTGGTTTGCTTTCCGCTATCTCTAGTCCAATTACTAATGGATCGGTGGATTGTTGCTCTTCCCCGCGCAGACAACCGCGAATACCCTCAGGTTGGCTAATGCAAGGTGGAATTCCTGGCATTGGATTGGCCGTCTATCACCGGGCCCACCGGAAAGTAGCTCTGTTTTTCGACCTCCACTTCCCACCTGCCAGGGCACACACGCATTGCACACATGTCAACTTGACGCTACAGAGGAATTGCCGAATGTACTCACATCGGCCGAGTTGTACCGTCGCCGCAGAAGGCCGAAGCCGAGAATTCCACCCTTACAGTGACGAGTGCAGATTCCTAATAATGCCGCTGTGAACCCCGTTGTGCGCTTTTATCTACAGATCGTGCCTTAATTTCCAAATTGACCGTCTTCTATCTTTCTTTCCGGTGCAAGGATCATATCCATGGATGATAACCCTCGAAGCTCATCCTCACCTCAGCCAATGGTATCGGAGACTGCTACCGTCGAAATCTCTGCGGCCTACATCCACCAGGGGAAAGAATTCGACCTCCAGAAGCGCGATGAGCAGACTCCAGAATGCGAGAATGCGGGTTTCCGCAGCGTAGAAGGCCTTAACAAGGTTTTCCATAACACTGGTCTAACTGGTCGCCTGTTCCTCGTTACTATTATCATCTCTCTTGGTTTGACCATGTTTGTTTACGCCATGGACGAGGGGGTTACGCAACAGTTTACTATGGTTGCGGCCTCCTCCTTCGATATGCATGCCCAGCTGGGCGCCGTAAACACCGCCAGTACTTTGATTAATGGTATCTCCAAGCCAGTGATTGGCAAGCTGGCAGATGTCATGTCCCGTCCGACGAGTTATATCATCTCTCTACTATTCTATGTTGTAGGATATGCTGTCGCGGCCAGCTGCACGAACTTCGTAGCCTACACGGTTGGTGTCGCCTTGACGGCGGTGGGCAAGGCAGGCCTAAACATCCTCTGTCAAATCATTGTTGGTGACTTGACGACACTGCAATGGCGCGGCTTCTGGACCAGCATGATTATAGCTCCCTATCTGGTGACCACTTTTACCAATGGTTTCATTGTGGATGCATTCGTCCCGGATCAGTGGCGATGGGGCTTAGGGATGTTCGCTATTATGGTCCCAATTCTGCTAGCTCCGGCGATCATAGCATTATATGGCACACAACAGAGAGCGCGCAAAATGGTGGTAACGGGGAGTAGTCCGCCAGAGAAAGGAGAAAAAGTCCCTCTGCATACTGCCTGGCAATGTTTAATTGCGATCGATATTCCCGGTCTCGTGTTGCTCGGCTTCTCCTTCTCGTTGATCCTTCTC